GCAATCTGGCTGCTCGCCGACGCGCAGCCGAGACACTCAGCCCCCGCTCCGAAGGTTCAGATTAGTCTGTCATTTGTCCGGCATTTGTCTGTCACCAGTGGTTCTGCCGGATACATTCATGAAAACTCTGTACTTGTAGGTGACAGACACTGACAGACAAATGACAGACAAATGACAGACACTGACAGACTCACTTTAGCTGTGTTTTTACAGTGTTTTCTGACCCTGACAGACACTGACAGATCTGTCATATGTCTGTCATTTCTGGGGGTTCAAAAACTGATATATGTATCGTGCGTTTGTGGGGGTGACAGACAAATGACAGATCTGTCATTTGTCTGTCATTTGTCTGTCGGTAGCTGTTTTTTGCCCCCCGAGGCCCCCTTCGGATAAAAAAAAAAACAAGCCGCGCGAAGCCGCCCCTTCGGGAAACAAAAAAAACCTAAAGCGGCACTCGGGATCCAGCGCCCTCGGAGCGAAGGATTCGAATTGTATGTAGGTGAAGCCGACTGATGGTCAAGCCTCTCGAGGCCCCCTGGAGATCCCCGCTGGCCGTCTGTCGACGCAGTCGATTGCTTCTCAGGCCTCTCGAGGCCCATGGAGATCTCCGCGGGCTGTCGGCCGACGCAGTCGATGGCCCGTTGGGCCTCTCGATGCACCTAGAGACCACCGCGGGCCGTCGGATCAATCCGAGGGCGGGTCCGACGCAGCCGTGGGCTGCTCCCTGAAGTTGATGAACGGGTTCACGTAGCTGGGGGGAACGTGAGCAAGCCACGCGAGGTGCCTGGGCCCATGGAATTCTTTGGATGCCCCTGGAGCCCTTGGAGGCCCCAGGCCACGGAAACTGCCCCTTGGGGCCCTTGGAGGCCCCAGGCCCCTGGAGCCCCACGCTCCCCATTCATGATGTTTCCCCGATGCTGGAGGTCGCGGCCCCTGGAATGCCTTTCCCATGGTAATGTGGCTCGCGCGCGTTCTCCCTTCTGGCCTAGAGCTCCTGGGGCGCGCGCACGGAGATGGGCTCGTCGACCAGCCAGGCAACATCGCTGTCCTGGCGGGGGGAGGCACGATGAGGGCGCGGGAGGCCCAGGCCCGCAGGGTGGTCGGGGTGCGATATCTGGTCAAGTGTGATCGGGGGAGGCGGAGCGGGTGGATCACGGTGGAGCTGGAGGAATGTGTGAGCGAAGCATGGTGGAGAGGGGTGGAGGAGAAAGACGGGGTGGATGAGGATGGTTTTTCTATCGTTTGCCCATCACGCGTCCCGCGTGGAAATCCGCCGAACAACGAGCCATGCTGGAGGACGGTGTGTACCCTCGACGAGCTCTCGATGAGGAAGCCCGACGGGTCGCACATGCACTGGACGCAGCAATCATGGTGGTCCACGCTGTAGACGCTGTCGCAGAGCGGGCACCGCCACTGGCCAGGACGCAGAGGGCTCGGGTCTGGAACGTCAAGGGCTGACCCGATCAGGTCGGCCAGCGTGTCGCCCTTGCCGCCAGCGGGGCTGCTGTTGCAGCTGATCGGGCTGGTGCTGATCTTCTGCTTCTTGATCGGCGTCACCGTGAGCGGCGTCGACACGAGCGGCCGCTCATCAGACTCATCGCTCGAGTCCTCCTGCGTGGCGGCGGCCCCCTGTGAGCCAGGCGCCAGCTCGGGATGCAGCCCTGGCTTCATCCACCTCCTCAGCGATGTTTGCGTCGCCGATGTTGCTGATGATGCGGGCGACGATGCCGCTGGCGCTGACTTGCCCGCGCGGGCCCTGCCCGCGCGGACCTTGCCCTTTCGGGTGGCGGGTGCTTGCACCTACGAACGGTGCGCAACCATGCAACGCACATAAAACTAAAGAAGATTGGACGAGGAGGAAAGGAACGCTGTAGCGTGGAGGTGTGGGAGTGAGAGAATGATTGGGTGGATGGGCGCGGGTGTGGGGGAGGGGGGCATGGCGGCAGGGGACGGATGAGCGGGGGGGTGGTGGGCTGAGGTGGAGGGGTCATGGATATGAGCTCCATCCCATTCGACCTCTATCGGCTGCATCTCGCATTGCGCCTCCTCGCTGACAGTGGGCACCCCCTGCGGAATCGCGATGCTGCTCACAATGGCGGCCATCACTCGAACCTCGGCGTGCGTGATGAGATGCCTGGTGGAATCGGCACTTCATCAGCGTATCGCTCACTCGGTCTGCCGCGCAACGCACAGACAGCATGTCATATGACAGACGGGCCTGTCATATGACAGACAGGTCTGTCATATGACAGACGGGTCTGTCATATGACAGACGGGTCTGTCATATGACAGACGGGTCTGTCATATGACAGACGCGTCTGTCAATGACAGACCCCGTAGATCACGTGAATGGTCTGTCGGACAGCTGATTGATAGTCATTACGGTTATTGGCGTGGAGGTTGGGGAGGTGTGGTGACGAGGCGGTGGATGGAGGTGTATGATGTGATGAGTGAGGTTGATGAGGGACTGCGATACCATATGTGTTCATACATACATCTATAGATGGGGGCGTGTGTAAAGATTTGAAAGCCTCGCTGTGCCCGCCCGGAAGGTTCGGCATGCCTCGTGGCCAGTCCATGCGACGGCAGCGGATGAAGCAGTCCACGATGTAGAGGCAGAACGCTGCGGGGTAGCGCGAAGCACAGTAGAATGCATACTTCTCGCCTGGTGACCATAACTCGCCCTCCTACGGAGAGCAGGGCCATTCGCTCAGAGCACGTGTTTCGCATGACCGAGCGCGGGCGGACGGAAAACTACGTCGGCCCCAACGGGGCTGGGCCCGACCAGACATTGCCGCGCTCTCAGTCATGCGATCCACAGTGCTCTAGACGAATGCCCATGCTCTCCTCTTTGACCCGTCGATGTCTGACACCGCACTTGCACGATAATCCAGCAGCCACAATCCACCAGCACGAACTCCACATTCGGATCGTCATCCTGGGTACAGTCGTTGCTTGCTGCCCGCTGCACCTAAACATGCACGAGTGGGCCTCCGTCGCATATAAGTTCAGGTCTCGGAGCGTGGAGGCGATGGTAGGGTATGCGAACATGCAATTCTTACCGTTGTTCTCTAGCGTGGTCCAAACGTTGCGGGCGTGGCACACTCGAATTATAAATGCAGTGATTCTGGCAATCTTGTTGCCACGCCGCACGTCGGGGTTCGTCTGCTTGCCCTCGATGCCTGGCGGTGGTTCCATGGCCAAGCGTGCTTCGACGTCTTGGGTCGAGGCGCGCCAATTCCTCGTTCTCTCCGCCTCGTGGGTAGATTCGAAGCCCCAGCTCGCACAATCGGGAGACACCCACACAAGGCCATTCTCACGCACCTCGCCCAGGGCGAGAGACAGAGGACCGCGTGGAGGGTGGTGGAAGGTGGACGGCGGTGGAGGGTGGATGGTGGAGGGTGGATGGTGGATGGTAGGGGGTGGTACAGGGCGGAGGGTGGAAGGTGGAGGGTGGAGGACAGATGGTCGAGGGTGGATGGCTGAAGACGATGGTGGATGGCGGAGGGTGGGATGTGTCGGAGGGTAGAGGGTGGAGGGTGCAGGGTGCAGGGTGCAGGGCGGTGGAGGCATGGGGCTGGAGGGCGGAGGGTAGAGGGTGGGATGGTGACCTGGAGCAAATGGTCGAGCAGAACGAGGAAGCCGTCCACCGTCGTGACGTCGTGCCCAGGGTCCAGGTGCTGGCCGAACTGCCAGGTGTCGAGCCCGCGCTTCAGCGCGGCATTGTGTATACCACCTGATCCGCAAAACACGCGCACGATGTCCAAGCACCTCCCAGCGTTGCTCTCGAGCTGGGCTGCCTGGGAGGATGGGGCGGCGAGAAGGGTGAGGAGGAAGAGTGGGAGATGAGCAGGATCAATGCCTGCTGCACCGTTCTGCCGTAAACTCTTGGAGCTCGAGTCGACGTCGTGCACCTGGCTGGCACCGCCGACCCCTGCCCCCTACTCTCGCCCATGCGTTCGAGCTGTGGCTCCGACCATCCCCCCTTCCCTCCCATCGCCCCCTCGCCGCGACCGCTCTCGAACGCAGGTTTCGGCCCTGTCATGGGCCGCCCCCAGCGCCCGAGCTTTTTTTTGTTGTTTTTTTTTCTGGCCCTGTTATGGGCCGCACGCGGAACTGGAAGCCTCGCGATGGCGAGGCGCACGAAGCGATCACGGACGTCGGGGAAAAGCCGACCCACACCGCCCTTCCAGTTAGAAGGATGAGGAAGAGGAAGATGAGGATGAGGATGAGGAAGACGGATGAGGAAGAGGAGGAAACGTAGAACGAAGGAGGAAGGAGGAGGATGGAATATGAGGAATCACTCTCAACCTTCCGCTCTTTGTCCCTCCTCCCCCGACTCTTATTCGTCCATCACTCCTCACTCCTCACTCCGTCCGCCTCACTCCGTCCGCCTCACTCCTCACTCCGTCCGCCTCACTCCTCACTCCGCCTCTCATCCGCATCCCCTCCACTCTTCGCTCCGACCTCATCTCTCCTCAGTTGTATCGCACCGATGTCGTCGGAACGCTCAGGATGCGCTGAGGCCGCACGCCGACAAGATCCTCGGCAGCAACCACGGCGTGGCATACGCCTCCAGCGACATGCGCGTCGGCATGGACGTTGACGGCCTGTGCGAGCACGCATCGTGGTTGGAAGGCCTGCTGCGTCTCGACCCGCGCGGCGGGTTCTTCGACCACATCGACGTCGCCAAGGGCTTCTACGGCATCATGAAGGCGCCGGCGGAGAACGTGACGAGGGTGAGGGCGATCTCCAGGGCGACGGGCTACCCCGTCGACGGGCTCCACGACTACTGGGCGCTCAAGACCCGCGTCATGTTGTCGCACCTGAGGATCAAGAAGAAGGAGCGGGTGCGATATCGCGGCCGATCGTGCCGTGTCTGATCGACTTGCCAGCGCGCAGGGTGACAGACAACGTCTGTCATATGACAGTTCCGTTTGTCATATGACAGACGTCGTCTGTCGCCCTGCGCGCCGTGCGGATAGTTTGCGTAATCCGAGGAGCTCACCAGCACTGCGATCGAGAAAGCGCAGCCCGAGCTGAGGTCGATGCTGTCGCTGATCTCGAGGCCCTCGCCGTCGCCGCCCGCCAAGTCCAGCAGATCAGCAGCGCAGCAGGAGCCAGTCCAGAACCCGTTCATCAACTACAGGGTTCCCGAGCTGTTCACAAGCCCTCCTCAGACGGGCGCCGGCTTCGGGAGCTCGTCGGTCCTGGACTCCGACGGCGACGATGACGACGAGGACAGTCATCCGATCTTCTGCCACTTCGATGGCCGTGCCATCCAGCTCGTGCTCTCCAACGGCTCGGCCAGAGAAGCTGAATGGTTTCGGGTGAGTGGTGGCGGCTTCGCGATGGGCGTGCGGGACTCCGTGAAGGGCGCCGACGGCGAGCCGTACTCGCGGGAGTCGGAGCTGTCGGCCGACTGGCTCGGAGACGACGGGAAGCTCAAGCGCCCCCCCAAGGCGCAGCCGAAGCCCGCGGGCAAGAGCAAGGCCAAAGGGAAGGCCACCAGTGCCAAAGGGAAGGCGAAGGCAAAGGCGAAGGCCAAAGGCAAGGCCAAGGCCAAAGGGAAGGTGCAGCTCAAGAAGCGCAAGGCGGGCGAGGACGACAGCGAAGGTGACGAGGCAGATGCCCAGGGCGAGGATGATGAGGAGGAGGAGGATGAGGAGGAGCATGAGGACGCGGCCGAAGCTCCCGAAGATGAGGAAGCAGATGCAGCGGAGGCAGAGGAGGCAGAGGATGTGCAGCCGTCGAAGCCCGTCAGCAAGAAGCCGGCTGGTAAGGCTGGCAAGAAGGCTGCCGCATCGAAGAGGCCAGCGATGATGTCCAAGCCAGCGGCAGCAGCAGCAGCAGCACCACCACCAGCAGCGGGCGCAGTACCAGGCGACGCAGCGGGTGCAGTACCAGCACCAGCAGCAGGTGCAGCCGATGCAGCAGGAGAACCAGCCGATGGCGCCGCGGAGGACGCGTCGCAAACCAAACATCCTCCTCGTGTCCGCCTCCTCCGCATCATATCCCTCCCCGTACTCATCGCTCTCCTCGTCATCATCCTCGCCCCCCCTCTTCATCCTCGCCCTCCAGATCCTCTCTCTCCTGCGCGCCCCCGCGCTCTGGGGGGCCCCGCGCCCAGCACCGCCCTCGCCCCCTCGTGACTAACGAGGGGGAAAGTGGGTCGTGGAGGAAAGGAGGCATGAGGGATGTAGGGGCAGGGTGGAGTGAGGGACGGTGAGTAAATGGAGGGGAGTGAAAGACGGGAAGCGAGGGGCGGAGGAGGGAGGGACATGGAGCGAGGGAGGAGTGCAAGAGAGCGAGGGATGGGGGGCGAAGGAGGCTGTAAATCCACCGCACCCCTGAGGATGACACGCAGATTGAGCTCATCCTTGCGAACGGCCACAACGGCATGGTCGCCGTATTCATGAGAGCCCTGGGCCGCCCCAAGAAGAAACAGATTCTCGAGGTCGGCGGCGAGAACGCACGTGAGCGGGCTACGACGATCATCGACATGATTAGGACGCAGGTGATGGACATCGTCGGATCTGTCAACGACCCCGCCAAGGTCTCGGATGAGGACATGAAGGCCGCGAGGGCGATCGCCAAGGCGGCGCGCGACGGGCCTGCTGATGATGGGCCTGCTGACGGGCCTGATGATGGGCATGCCGAGGGGCCTGCTGACGGCGCTGCTGACGGGCCTGCTGATGACGGGCGTGCTGCTGACGGACCTGCTGCTGACGGGCCTGCTGCTGACGGGCCTGCTGGCGGGCCTGCTGACGGGCCTGATGACGGGCCTGATGACGGGCCTGCTGACGGGCCCGCTGACGGGCCTGCTGACGGCGGTGAGTGAAGGGCCTGGCGACGGCGGCGGCTGGGTCGCAGACTCGTAGGTGCATAGGCCGTAGCCGTGCGAGATGCGCGGGCGGCCCGAGGAGCGGTTGCAGACCGCTGGAGATATCGCTCGGTCGAGGCGCCTAGCAATATCAGAGACTTGCAGTCCTGAGCTCAGCGGTGGCATTGGATAACGAGGCGGCGGCATCGAATGTCGAAACGTCGGGCCGTGTAATCCAGGGTGTCGCGGCCGATGTGCCAATTGCGAGTGCATTGCGCCGTGGGCATCTCAGTGTTTATCCAATGCCACCCCTGAGCCCAGGACTGGCATTCGGTCCCGCGGGAATGCGACGTCGCGAAATCGACGAAGATGGGATCAAGAAGCCCAGGATATTTCCAGGGGTGCACCCCTGGATATCCCCTGGGCTTCTTGACCCCATATGAGGGGGTTAGCCATGCCCGCGCTGCGAGAGTCATCCACTACAATACGGCCTTTCATTTTGCACGGCGGTGGCATCGGATACTGACCAGTCGGGCCGTGCAATCCAGGGTGTCGCGGCCGCCGCGCGAATTGTGAGTGCACTGCAACGTGGGCGTTGCATTCCGCCGCCTTGGACGATGTCAGGCAGTATGGTAGTGGCTGGCCCTCGCAGCGCGGGCTGACAAACCCTCACCCCTGGTAGTTCCTCGGGCGCCAGGACCCCCATCTTCGACTGCGATTTCGCGCCGCGGCATTCCCGCGGGACCGAACGAGGGGGATGGCGCGGGCGAGGCCCAGGGGGAGGGTACGTACCCACCAGCAATAAGAATAGGTAGGTCGACACATGAAAGTAGAAAGGTGGACACATGAAGTATAAAGGCTGATCACACGCAACAATAACAATGACAACCACACCATATCGACATTAAAAGTAATACGACACGTGACATGCATTGGGATCTTAAGGTCCAAACAGAGATACTTTCAACGAGCGGCGTGAACGTGGATGGGGAGCGCGGCGGGCTCAGGATACCCCCCCAGGAGCCCACAGAGCGCCTCGCGGCCCTCGCGGAGCCTTTTGTGGAATGGTGCGAGCGGGCCCATGGGCGCACACATGAACACACACCTCCCAATATTCCCCATATGTTCTATAGTTTCTGGATGTTCGCCTTCTTCAACCACTTATCATGGTTTCTTTTATTTCTCGGAGAGGGGTTGGGCGATCCGCACGCGTACCACGATAATGGCATGAACATAAACGTTCGGAGGTCAGCTCGGATTTCTCAGTGCGGCGCGCGACGCGCCGCCAGTCTGTCACATGACAGGCGGGTCTGTCATATGACAGACGGGTCTGTCATATGACAGACGGGTCTGTCATATGACAGACCCCATTTGTCACGTTGCACGGCTGACTGGGATGCACGGCGAGCGCCGAAACAAGCAATCCGAGCGGACATCCAAGCGTTTATGCTCATGCGTTGTTTCACTCCGTTCGGTTCGTCTGCACAGCTGGGCCCAATCCGATCCGATCTCAACGCGCATTTCGAATCGTCGCCGCGGCTGGGTGCCCTCCGAAGCCTAAACGCGCTCATCGATTCGTCGCCACGGTTGGATCCCACTGGATCAAATATCCTAGTCTGAACGCGCATCTCAAATCGTCGCCGCGGCTGGATCATTTTCGAATTTTTGGTCGGAGCGCGCATCTCGAATCGTCGCCACGGCTGGACCCCTTCCGAACACCTGGTCCGAACTATCGTCGCCACGGCTGGATTCGGCCATCTGACGCTGGCCGCGCGCGCCCCCCATGCGCGCAGCGCGGCGCCAGACAGCCAGCGCCGCGACGACGGCGGCCAGCACGGCCGCGGGCATATGGAAGGGCGGCCCCGAGGGCCGCCAGGGGGAGCGGCGCTGAGAGCCAAGCGCCAGGGGGGATCGAGGAGCTGCGAGGAGCGAATGTCATCCGATACATAAACATACGCACGCACACACTCACACACATATGTATATATACATACATATATGTATGTATATACATATATGTATACTTATGTCATATATATATATGTATACTCACATATTTGTATAGTTGCTGTGTTTATGTGTATATGTAATGTATGTATGTATGTATGTATGTATGTATGTATGTATGTATGTATGTATGTGTTATATGTATGTATGTATGTATGTATGTATGTATGTATGTATGTATGTATGTATTTTTATAACACAAGAAAGCCGGAAAGCCGGAATCCTACAAATCTCCGCGCTTTTTAGCAGGATCCAGGATTCTATCGCAGATCCCTACAAAATTGCGTTCGATATGACATGTCGCGTTTCTTTTAGCAGGATCCCCAAAAGAAAGCCGGAAAAGAGCCTCAGGGTAAGGCACGATCCCGATCAACCGCCGCGGCGGCCTTAATGGAACGGTCGTCCACGTAGGACCACGCGCGCGTCCTGGGCACCGAACGGACCGCGGCGTGCCAGGGGCAAAGCACCAGACTGAGGATACGGCCCGAAGAAGAGTCGCCGGGCGGCAGGCCCCGAGTAGGGTGTAAAGCAGCAGCAGCGTCCCCGGCCACCGAGCAATATCGGGGGGCCCGCCAGACAGCCTCCATGGTAGCCACGACCGGAGCAGGTGCACCTTGGTGCCTGAAGGCGGCGCCTGCGACGCCGTGGTCCACCGAGTCGTAGGCCCGGCTCAGGTCGACCTCGGCTCCAGCGTCGCCGGGCGCGGCGGCCCAGTCAGCCACGGAGGCCACGGCGCCCCTCTCCCCAAACGCCTCGGCATGGGGCGCGGGAAGCACGTCGAGGAGGCAACGGCCCCAAGCTCGCATCCAGACCGGCCCGATCGCGATCGGCCGGGCGTCGTCGGACCCCCGCTTAGGGGTGCCGACCACCCGCAAAGCCCCGAAAGCCCGCGTGCGCTCATCAGGCCATGGGCTGGCGCCCCCCTCCAACGTGGCGACGAGGATGGCCCAGAGCTCGTGGAGGAGGCCAGGGAGGTGGTCCGAAAGGCCCTGCAGCTCAGAACCCCCCCGCCCGTCCCAGCCGCCCCGTGAGTGTCCCGGAGGGCCCGCTGGAAGGCCGCGAAAAAGGGGGGTCGCCATGCGGGGTTGGCGGGGATTTCGGGGATCCCCCACTCGCGGGCGACGACGACCCAGTCCAGGGGGGCGCCTCCAGAGTCAGGCACCCACCACGGTCCCAATTCCCGCCGCATATCCTCAGCCGAAAAAGCTGGGGCGGGCGCGGGTTCCCGTATCGTCCGCGCGGCCACGGCCGCGGTGCGGGCGCCCCACTTGCAGAACTGAGAACGCCACGTCTTGAGGGCGCGCTGCTGGGTGACCTTAGTTTCGGCAACGAGCGCCCGGGACAGAGCTTGGGCCGCCTCGCCAAGGGTGCGGGGGAGGGGGCCCTGGAGCAACCCATCCTGGCAGGCAGGGGCCCACTTGCGGGTGACCAGGGGTGGCAGAAGCGCCGCGGTGCCCACGGAACTCGTCCTCCCAGCCGCCACGACCAACCTGTGGAGCCGAAGCAGGCGACGTTCGCGGATCGTGGCCTCGCCCCGCGTGGGCCCACCAGGGGCCACGGGCCGCGTTTCGGTCGAAACGCCCTTTGGTCGTTCGGCAGCCCGGGTGACGCTGGTCACGCCTAGGGCGGCTGCCGTCTTCAGCGTAGCCTCGGCGCGCCTGTGCCACCGCGCCAGCGCCTCGGTTGCCCAATCGAAAACATGGGAGGAAGAGCTAGGCTCGGGCCCCCCCCACTCGTCAGCCGCAGCACCCAACAGCGCAGCTTCGTTCGACGAGGGCGCACGGACCCACTCGTACCGGGCCGGTCTCTTGAGGCGGTGCGTCTGGGCCGGCTGGGGGGGAGGGGGGGGCCGACATCGTACACCACCCCGAAATGGTGGGGGACGGCGGGCAGGGGGGCCGAATCCATCACCACCGCCGAACAGCCCAGACCGACGAGGCGCGAAGGCGACGTGAGGGACACCGT